AACATGGCCAGGCACAAGAGGCAGAGTCCGAAGCATGGCCCTGCATGAGTCAGTCAGAGATGTTTGTGCTGGCCAAACCTGCCATCGAACCATGTATATGGATGGCTACCAACCAACCTGTGGTTTGAGTGGTTGAATAGCCCACTATCTGAAGGGAGCTCCTCTGTGGCCCAGTCAGTCCCAGTGCTCTGCAGAGTGCTCTGCACGGCGAAAAGCGTAAGAGACAATGATTTATTCAGCATCCCTAACTGTGTTGCGAGATCATGCGCTCTCACGATGAGTTCATCAGTGCACCTGCACTCATTGCTAGGGCAGTGCAGGTTGAGACGCAGCGTCTTGTCGGGGGAAACCACTTTAGAGGCAATACAGGCATCCACCGCTGGCATGGAGGCTAGGCCACCACAGAAGAGAGCATTCACCCCACTCTGCTCATTCTAGGCTTATGCTGGCCAGACTGAATGGTGGCTGTAAACTCAGCAATAAAATCCTAACACACAGGCATGGAGAATTTCTCCTCTGTGGCTTTGCGTTTGAAAAAGGCACCAGTTCTTGGCATCTGGGCCGGCAGGGTGTCCAGCAGAAGCTTAGCCAAGACAACCTTCACAGCATTGTACACCTGTTTTGCTGGCATTGCCCTAGATGCCTGCCCATCCTCGCTGGAGTGCCACAATGGAGAGGCAGATCGAGGCTCTGAAGTAAGCTGGGTGTCTCTTACTGAGCCCTCAGTCTGTGCAGAATCAAGCGGGAAATCTGTGTTTGAAGCCACCATGGTGGGAATGTCAAACTCCTCTGCCACAGCAGGCAATGTGTGCTCTGTGGGCTCCAGTAGGGCTTTGGGTCTGCCCTGGCTGGCAATGTTGCCGCTTAAGGCCCTTAACATTGACTTAATTTGGGCTACATCAGAGGAGAGTGAGTCCATCTTCTCAGCCAAACTCTGTCTTCTGTGGCATGTATGACCGAGCCATGGGTTTGCTTTTCTTCCGCAGCAACTCCAGCTTGTTTGGCAGGGGTCATTTTACGTGCATGCTCTCAAGAGAAGTTGGCACCATTGCGCCATTTTCAGCCTCCAACCCTGCTAGTCTCTCCTGCCACTAAGCCAGTGGTATAAAGCTGCAGTTCTTGCAGAGGTCAACCAGCACTTTGCGAAGGTAATTCAAGACAAACATAAGTCATGTTTTTAAGGAAGCAGCAGAGGCAGTGTTACAATGACAGCAAACTTGATGGGAAAATGAGTCGGTCAAATGAGGTTTGAAGTGTAACTAGCAGAAGCTAATGGAAAAGTAGTAGCCTGTAGCCTGTTAGCTCTGTTCTGTATGCGGCCGCTCCAGCTAACTCGAGGTGGCTTAAGTAGGGCAGGCTGGTTGATAAACTTCAGCCGCGACACTGAGCACTGCTCAAGGAGTGGCTCAATGATGCTGCCTCACTCCCAAAATTCCAGAAGTCCAGAAGGTCAGTGAAGAAACAGCCCGTACAGGATGAAAGTTTTTAAGGCTCTGACCAAGTAACCAGAGTTAATGAATTACTCGGTTCGAGAAGTGAAAAAAAAGGGGGAAGACTGTAGTTTGGCTAAAGTATATATAAGTTTGACTATGTCACATGCTGGTGTCATTAGGTGACTATTTCATAGGAATACTTTCTCGGACTGCAGCTGGCTCAGGCTCCAGCCCTAATTTCCTAAATGCTAATTTCAAGTTATATTTTAGGTTTTCCAGATTTTTTCCTTCCCTGCGGTTAACCAGATATCCATTCATTAACTCTTGCAGATATTCAAATATCAAAATTAGTTGAATGCACATCCCTAGTACGTGTATTGATGTATGCACTAAGGCTGTATAAGAGCTGTCTGATTCCAGAAATTTTGGAGTTCCGAGTGATAGTGGGAATCAATGGAGTTGATTCCAAGAGTTGATTTCTCAGAATTTTCTCAATTCTTCATTCCCAAAATCAAAACAGAGGTCTGGATATGTAGAAAGTACAATATTAAGTACATAATACACTACTATGATTTATGGCATGTGTGACAAGGGATCTTAACATAAGCTACCTCCTCAGTTGTTCTTCAGTTCAGTTCTTCACTTTAATTTATATGACCTATTTGACCTTAGCAAGGCAGTTTAGAGAGCTAACTCAGCTAAATTAACCTAGCTGACTACAATTACATTTAGCTGTTTAGATGATATTGTATGACTATATTGTAGATTTGACTTTGTTTTAAACTTTCTCTAAAGCAAAATACAGCCAGTTTGTTGACGTGGGTCTTGTGGAGGAGTCCATTTTTTGGACAAGCTTTGTAACAGACTCATTTCCCAAATGCCTGGATGCCTGGAATCAGAGTCGACACTTCTTGGGATTGACTCTGAGCCCTAGGCTGTACAGTGTCACTTGTTAATAGTTACTGTGACATTGATGTGTGCAATAATGATTTCTCAAGGGGTTACAGTATGCAAAAGACGTCATTCCTCCCACCTAAATGTCGGGCTCAGACCGGGCACGGATTTCTCATCCGGGTTCTCACAGCCCATCTCCCAAATTTTAGTTACTATATAGGTGCACTTTCTCTGCATACTTTGTTAGCCCCCTTTTACCCTGTTCTTCAGTGGTCAGGACCCCCATGGACCCTCACAAAGCAGGTACTATTTAGGTGGTAGATCATTCTCAGCACTGCAGTAACACTGACGTGGTGGTGGTGTGTTACTGTGTGTTGTACTGGTGTGAGTGGATCAGACACAGCCGTGCTGCTGGAGTTTTTGAACACTGTGTCCACTCACTGTCCACTTTATTAGACACTCCTACCTTGTCAGTCCACTTTGTAGATGTAAAGTCAGAGACAATAGCTCATCTGCTGCTGCACAGTTTATGTTGTCATCCTCTAGTCCTTCATCAGTGGTCACAGGACGCTGCTCACAGGACGCTGTCGGCTGGATATTTTTAGTTGGTGGACTATTCTCAGTCCAGCAGTGACACTGAGGTGTTTAAAATCTCCAGCAGCACTGCTGTGTCTGATCTGCTCAGACCAGCGCAACACACACTAACACACCAGCACCACGTCAGTGTTACCGCAGTGCTGAGAATGATCCACCACCCAAATAGTACCTGCTCTGTGAGGGTCCATGGGGGTCCTGACCACTGAAGAACAGGGTAAAAGGGGGCTAACAAAGTATGCAGAGAAACAGATGGACTACAGTCTGTAATTGTAGAACTACAGTGTGCACCTATATAGTAAGTGGAGAGTTGAGAGTTGATAAAATGGACAATGAGCGTAGAAACAAGGAGGTGGTCATAATGTTATGCCTGATCGGTGTATGTGTGTTATTTAACCATGCTGTGTCATGGCAGTTGCAGTGCTTTTGCTTTAAGGTCTTTTGATTGTTATATTTGTCTAGTTTGTATTTTTTATTTTATTAATATGTTTATTTGATTACTTTTATTACTGCTTTCTTTTGTTACTTTAATTAAGCTGTTTGTGTCTGTTCTCTATGGTATAGCTTCTGTGCTTTTGGGTGCATGTCTAGGGTTTGTTGTGATTTTATTTTGTATAGCTTTGGGTATTAGAGAAGCGTGCTACAGTTCGACACTGAGTGGTGATTGGCTGGTTCGGTTCAGTTCAGTTTTGGAGAGTTTTGAGTTTTAGGTCAGGTCGGGTTTAAGCTCAAAACTTGATGATGGGGGTCAGGTAGGCAACAGACAATACTAGTATTGCAAGGCCATTTCGTGTAGCCCCAGCATGGATCCGGTATACAGGGCAGGCCAGTTTTATGCCATTGAGAGCTTGCTGTTGATTGCTAGCTTCCATCAGCATGTGTTAGATGGAGAGGGCTGATAAAGTTGTGCCGTGAGCAGCAATTACCAGGCCTCTCCTCCCCCTGCTGTGATCCGCAGGCTTTAGCCCAGCTGTTCCACACTCACCTGCTACACACAGCCCTGTAAAAATCAATATGGCCAAACAGACCACTGAGACAGAACATTTTAACATTGCATGTGCAATTTCCAGTACACATGTGGGTTTCTTTTCCCCTGTGCAAAGTAAAAGCGTGGGTGATTTTGTTTTCCAGAGTAGCCGTTTGTTTTCTACTCCACACTATGCATGGACATCGTAGGGTTTTTATTTTTATACTATGCTTGATCATCATCTTTTGAAGAACTGCAGTCTTCAGCCTCCAATTCTACAACCAAGCTCCATTGTTACCATCGTGTACACAAAAATGGAAGTAGCTATTTCATGGTCTTGGTATTCTAACCATTGCTATATTTTCTTTTTTTATGGCTACAAATGTGGTAAGCCTGGTTGACCTCTTGAAGGGTCAATCTGGCCAAAATGGAAAAACCATTGCTATGGCTGTAAACATGCGCACTTGCCTCCTACAGTGGTGATCTAGAGTCAATAGAGTGAAATTTTCCAGGTTAAAGATTAGGAAAACACCGTTTTGCTGATGTATCTTCAAAGTGGGAAGAACTTTCAGGGCAGGCTGTTTTTATGTTGTATTTATTAGCTTCTACATCAGTGGCTACACTAGCAGTCACCGCGGGGAGAATTCGCAATGGCCGTATGACGTATTTGCACAGTGCATTTTGGGTATTGTAGTGAAACTACACTGGGTGAAAACATAAAAGGGACACGAAGTTGTGAATTCTGTCCACCAATGAAAAGCTGATGAAAGCAATGATGCACTACAGTGTTTTAGATAACATGACAAATAACAAGTGGTAGGTTTTGCCTGGAATGGCCTTTAAAACAGCAGTACTTCCAATTTCTCACTCCCGTAACTACATAACGGACATATTAGCTCCTTTGTAGTTACTGAATAATTCATAGCAAGTTACTGAGTCACAGGTCTTTAGACTAACAGCTGAATAACAAATCTGCAGTTTAATAAACAAAACAGTTGTGCAGAAAAATCAATTTCAGGACTCAGCTAGTCTAGTGCTCAAGAGAAAGCGGAAACTAAAAACACCAGCGCTGTATAAAAAAGGTCTTTGTTCTCTTTCCTTTGCCTCTGCAGCACAGGGTCAAAACCTGGTGACGGGAAACGTCTCGGTGATTGAGGGTGAGACGGCAACCATCAGCTGCCGGGTGAAGAACAACGACGACTCGGTCATCCAGCTCCTCAACCCCAACAGACAGACCATCTACTTCAGAGACGTCAGGCGTAAGAACTGCTTCCTTCACTTACTCTCACATTATGCACAAGGCCAGACCTCGAGAACATATGCAAGTACCTGCTGTATAAACAGAGTCAAATGCAAATGTCTTTTTAAAACCTTGTTTCAGTGACTCTCCATTTCAATATCTTCGGAGCAGCTGCTATATATATATATATATATATACACAGAAAAGCTAGTTTACTATGTACATCTGTCTTGTATCTACACTCAGTGGCCATTTCATCAGAAACACGTACTATATAGATGCACTTGGTGGGTTTACAGTTATTGATCTGTTGCTGCACAATTTATCTGCCTCCCTTTAACTCATCCATTAATGGGAAGACAGCACCATAGGACCACTATAGGACCACCCCTGAGGCACAGCACTGGTGCTGTAGTTTTTAATCACAGCAATGTCACTATTGCTTTAAAATGTCAAAAAACGCACCATCCACAGCAAGTCACATATGCAAGGAAAGCACGTGTGTATCGTAATCTGTGTTTTATTTTAAATGAGTAGCCCGATTCCTTCATCAGTCCTGATATGTTGTCTAGTTTCTGAACATTCCATATGGAAAGGGAAGTTGCCTGGTTGCCCCCTGCTGTTTGCATTTAAAACATAGTTTAACAATGAAATGGGGGTGCTGTACATTACAGGTTGTATAATATAACTTGCAGAGTAATTGAGCATGTTCCAAAAATGGTCTACAAAATCTGTGGTGTGCAGATGAAGTCACTAAAAATTACCACATGAATTAGTGCGAGCAACCAGCAAATATATATGAATGTATATCTTACAATATTTTGTAAAATAAAACACTAAATAATAGTCAAACTTTTTTGTAGCTTTTGGAAGCAAATGATGTTAAGGTTCTCCTCTGTTCCTTCTTCTCTAAAACTTATTCAGAATCACCACCTAAAGTCATCTGAACATAAACCAAACAATATTCATCCATTTTTACCAATGAAAACATAGCAATGATAACATTCTGATCTGACCTATTTGCATTTTGGAACAAGTGAACATCGACAAACCAATAATTAGATTGTCAACTGGCAAACAGATTTTACTGGAGCATGTAGAGAAAGGACTGTTACTCTGAAGGTTTTGTTGATGTTCAATAATGACAGAAAAGAAGTTCTTTCCAGTAACCTCAGATGGAGGCATTGCACTCAGCTGGTCTCAAGAACAATTTCTGAGTCCACTTTACCCTTAGACTGAGGCAAGACTGAGTCACAATAATGTCAAGACAGAGACTAAACTTGAGTACTTCAACACTAAAGGCAGGTATTAAGTGGTCGATAAGTGTGCAAAGTGTTTAAGACCCAGCAACACCGCTGTGCCTGATACTCCTACCAGCACAACACACACTAACATGCCATTATCATGTCAGTGTCACCGCCGTGTTGAGAGTGGCCCTCCACCTACAGAATATCTGGTTAATGGTGGTCTCTGCATCGATGAATGGTGTCGAGGGGGCTGTTTAACTTCAGCTACAGTCAGAAACTGTAAACCTGAAAAGTGCGCTGACAGTAATATGCAAACGTTTAGGTGCCCCATGGTCAAATGACATTTTCTTGATTTTCTAAGTGAAAAGACGTTAACATCCTCTACAGAGAACATGCTTCTGCACATGTTAATGCACAATTATTGTGTATTTACAGAATTCAAAATATTGGAAAACAGAAATCACAAAATGTGGTCTGTGCAAAAGTTTATATTTTATGTTTTATTTTTTCTCAATAGATTAAACTCGGCAAATAAACAGAATCTGTGTACTAAAATTGGCAGTAAAATGCTATATATTGTGTCTCATTGATGTCTGCATACAACTCACTGCATACATGTGAGATGTTTCCGATAAAATGGCAAGTGAGTGTAGATACAAGACAGGTATAACTAATAAACTAGCAGCTATGTGTTTTATACACACTGTCGTCCCTCTCTCATCCTTGTGGGCTTCATCTGTCACCTTCTGGTTAAGCCGAGCTTTGGTTTGAAGGCTTCTTATTATTGAAAAGTGCAGCAAGGCATGGCATTGTTGACAAGGTCCTTCTAACAACTGAGTGACAGTGTGTAATTGTGTTGGCCTGATTAGAGCACTCCGAACAGTCCATTTATATTCTAGCCTTGAGATTGTTTAGATCCTCCGCTGGCGTGCTGCATGCAAAGCATATAATCATGCCTTCTCTGCCTAATAAGGGCCTTGATGAGCTGCTAAGTGATGGTCTGACCGGTAATCAGCGTCTACTTTAGCCTGTAAGAGGGAACCTCCTGCAATTGTGTTCCCACTCCTCCAGCGCCCTCCGCTTACTCCCTCTATTTTAGCATCGCAGGAATGAAAGTGAAAGTTTTCCAGGGATTCTAAATGACACTCCTTGCAGATGCCCTCTATAGGCACTGGGAAGGCTATAATTTAATTCATGTATGTTGGGTTCGCATGCCGAGGGCAGGTTTAGCTTTGTTGTGAAAACAGAATATTTATGAATATGACCCGCTTTTGTGGCGTGTCCTTTTGTTGGGCTCGCTCATTGATATTAAGATAAAAACCGGAATATGTATTTATATTAATTATGCATTACCATATGCCATACCGTTTTTTTTTGTTGTTTTTTTTTCAACTGGTTTGTTTCTGTTTGACCCTTTTTTCTCCCTTGAGATATTCTACTTCACAAAGAAGAGAGAAGGGAAAAAGGCAGTTGTTTTCACACACTCCTTTGTTAAAGAGGAAAGTGAGCTAGGGTTTTTTTTTTCCAGCGCGAAGCACATTATTCGGGATTATAATGCTGCTCCTGCACATTCCTCCGCTCATATGGAAGCAAAAGAGCAGATTCTTTTAAAAGGTCAGGCTACATTTTTGTCATGTCTTTACATAAAATCTAATAGATGTGTCTTAGTGCAACATAATTCTAGTAGCTGTATTTCACTGCCAATTATACCTGACAAGATCTCTTCCCGAGAGAGAGAGGGAGAGTGAGAGAGACCGACAGGACTCTGGCCACTAGCTCTGACATTAGGACTGTGGATGTGGCTTTGCGGATTGCTCAGTCTTCAGTCTCTTTAGTGCTGTAATGTATTATTCCGTCTAATGTTTACTGGGCTGCTAGCGCTCTGTTTGTGGGGAAAGTACGGCCTCTTTAACAATTCATGGATTTAACCCTTCAGCATGGATGGAGAGGGTTTTTAAGAGTGGTCAGCTCCAGATAACGCCTAACTTAAAGCGTTGAATCCATAACGTATGGCGGAAATGTTGCAAAGATGATCAAAATAAAGCATGAGGCTTCGAATATGCCAAGCTGAAACCTCACTGTACTAACTCTATGTTAATCAACCGTTGCATAACATCGGTAATAAAGCACTTCAGTGTGGTAGATGGGCCAGGTCCACTTAATGTCCACTTTGGCCATAGTAAAATGGATCAGCATCTGGAACTGGAGCTTTTGGTGTGCTACTGTGGTTTCTATCAATATAACGATTAACTATGCAAAATAATTTAATAAATTGCGATTAATTATTTAACAGCCCCAGTTGTTTGACAACCCCTTATATAAACCAACACAAATTGTTGATGAAGCAAATGATTCCAACGTTTTGATTGGTAGTGTGTCTAAATAATGAGACACTGATATATCACATTATTAAAGGTAAAGAGAAGAGTAAAAGGCAAAATGAGCTGTTTTGTGGCCTCTGCATAGAAGAACAAATGCTAATACAAATATGAACGTGTGCTAGTTCTGCATGATGCTTAGCTTCCTTACTCCAACCTGAAAAAAAGCCTTTTATGCTCTTCCGTGTAACACCTCTTTGTTATTTCGTTTTGTGTGATTGTGAAAGCGGATGAGGGAGAAGTATTGCGCATAGCAAGCCAACTGGGACACAGAAGCATTCAAATCCACTTACTGTCAGCCACTTACAGAGTGTTTTGCCTCCAAATCTCTAATGCACTCTAATGATCCTCGATAATATATTTATTTGTCACTGGGGCTGCGTTTCTCTCAGGCCTTCCGATCCTTCTTCTTCAGCGCTAGCTTGTACTGGACGTGTTGGATTAATGCAGTGAGCTTGTCCCTGTAGTAGCTCTCTCCCACTTTTCGGTGCGCTGAATGAGAAAGCTCAGGTAGCACATGTCAGCGAATGAAACGAGCTCACGTCGACAGCTATTCAATTCCAGACGTAGCCAGAGCAGTCCTTTCATCCCACGCTGGCTCCTCAAAAAAACAAGTAGGCCTCATCATTATTCTTAGGAGCAAGACATTTTTCCACAGACTCTTCAAATTAGGAGCTGGGATTAAGAGCAAGTTCCTAATGTAAGCTCTCAGAACTTGTGATCAAGATTCTCAATTAGGGCTCTGACGCAGACTTTCAGAGTTTCAGCATGTCAGAAATACTCGGCGCTTCCTCAGGCCTGTCAGACAGAGGAGCGTTCACTCATTCTGCATAATGCTAAAGCACTTCATGCCTATGTTATTTCTGCCTTGCAAAGCTGTACTACGTAAGATTTTTTTGTTATAGCTGAAAGAAGTAGCATTACTGAGTCAAAAACTCAGTAATGAAATATGCTAAAATGTGGTGTGCATGTACTGCTGTGAGTCACCCTGTAAAGCATGAAATAATCATGTAAAAGTAGAGTGTTTTGGACCACGTCATATGTCCAAGTATTAACGTCACACGCACAGGCTCAAAAAGAAGGGCCGGCTCAATGTTTAGGTCTCAAATGCCAAATGAAGATATGATGACGATTGTAGATAATCTACTTACATCTTCGGAAGACGTCCTTCATCTCATTTTGAGTTCTTTGGGGTCCAAAATACAACTGTCATTAAAAATGTTCTTCCGCACATTGTGTGCAATTACACATTAACACCAGAGAGGTCTCTGAATCTTATGTAGTGTAGTTTTAATCTATTTGGAATCAGTGTTCGATCTAAACTAGAGTCGAACTGGGTTCTTTCCAGGCCACAGCTCTGCAGAGATTAGGATTTTCCCTTTTCTAACACTCATGAAAGCCTTGATGAGATGAATCAAGTGTGTGTAATGAAGAAGAATGATACAGAGCTGTGGCCCAGAAGGAACCCAGTTCGACACCCCTGGTTTAACCCACGTTACAGGGATGGTAACCCCTGTTATGTAATTCTCCTTTATTGTTTCAATGTAATCTTTTCCTTTATTTTGGTATTTAAAGAATATGATCTAACAAAGGTGAATAGATTACTATTTTTCACACTTCAGTCGCTTTTGTTACTCAGATGAAACAAGTCAATGACGAGGCTTTAGTGATCTGAATTGTGTATTGAACATATGCTCATGCTCATCCGGAATTTGTCGCAGGGTAATAAAGACAGTTCTGTGATTTACATAGTGATAAACCCTAGTAGCACACAGAAAGCTCCAGTTCCTCATGCTGATCCATTTTGCTACTCCAAACATGACGTAGTAACTGCCTACCAACAATACAGACCAACAAAATAAGATTTACCTGAGCCGGAAATTTTGAACAGGACCAGAATCCAGCCTTAGAACATTCAGTCCACTCAGGAAGGACCTGACTCACAATGCCAAGTTTAGAATCCAAACCTGACTTCAGCCTGACAAAAGCCTGTTTTACGTAATTTCACTTTACTCCAGAGTGCCAGATTTAAAACTGTCGAAGGTAATAAAAGCAGGTAGGAGGAAAAAAGTAAGGAGAAAAGGAAATGCTTTCTTTTACAGTTCTCAGTTCTAGGTATTTACTAGGAAAGTGTAAGGTACAAACTCTAAAGTACTAGAAAATTATTTTTGTTAACAGGACACCAACTTCCAAGACAGTTTCACTGAATTACACGGAAATGCTAAACAGGTTCTAGACATTAAGTGGTTGAGTGTGTGGTACAATTCCCAAAGTGAAGTGTAGTTATGCTGGGTAAAATGATGAGCACCAAGACAATCTAACTGAATTGCACTTCAATAGCCAACAGATTCTAGCTATTAAACAGATTTTTCTAGATAATAAACTGATAAGGGCATAGTAAAATACCTCATAATTAATTGGAGTAGCAATGTTGTAAATAAACAAATAAATTCACATTAAATTTCACTATAACGTCACACTTTTAAGGAGGACAGTAAATTGGAAACACCTTAGAGTACCGGGTAAGTTACACGGTGTAAAATGACAGCACAAAATATGGTTGAAGTAAATGGTTCCAGTAAAACCAGAATAAGAATCATTACTTTCTTTTACAGTCCAGAGTCAGTTTTGTTTATAGCTTACAGACAGGTACATACTATCTAAGACTATTTGTAATTCATTATAATTACACAATTACACATAACTAATTACACAGTTCTTTAGAGTTTGTACCTCATACTTACTCAGTTAACACCTGGAACCTGTTTGGCATTTCAGTGTTATTTAGTTAGACTGCCTTGGAACTTACCAGAATAATACTAAAATCAACACCCAGTACTTTGGAGTTTGTACCTCCCACTTACCTGGTTAATACTTAGAACTAAAGAAACTGATGTACACCAAATTCTGTTGAAGTGCCAAAAAGAGTTTTTTGGAGCAATGCCATAGAAGATACCAGAGAAGTTCCCCAAAGAACCTTTCAGTGGTACCTTTTTTGTAAATGAGATGCATGAGTATGAAGAACCATTTCAGAGTTTAAAGAACCTCTACATAATGTACATGTTCTATATCAAAATTTGTTCTTAAAAACAGAATGTCTGAGCCGAAAGCCACTTAGGGTGTGTTCAGATTTGGCAGGTTTGGTTCGATTTGGCTCTGTTGATGCAGTTCATTACAGCAAGCGAGAACGCTGCCATCTGAACTCTGATGCGCACCAAATAAGCGGGCTGAGGCACTTTTAGCAAGACTGTCTCAGTTCACTTCTAAACAAACTCTGGTGCGGTTTATTTGATATATGAACGCAATAAGGACCAAAGAACAGATGAACCCCATCATCTCTTCTCTGCAGAACTTCTTTGGTAAGCAGAAAAGACAAGAGTTCCCAATGCTGTTTTGACATGTGCATGTGTTTTAACATCTCTTCATCAGCTCTGAATGAGTAACTATAGAATGGATAGTTTTGGTTTTGAAACGAGGCTGAGGCACGCTTGAAGCCATTATAAAATAAACAATGCACACATTTGACTGCACATATAAAATATATTATGTATTAAGGCACCAATGTTTCTCCCTTCTGTAAAAGCAGGAAGACACTTAAAAATTTCACCCTGCTTTGCATTGTGCAGAACCACAGTAGGGAGTCTTATGGCTTATTGCTCTAGTATCACAAGACATACATAAAACCAGTGAGCTCAGACAGAACAGAAAATGGCACGACTCAAGGTGAGGTGGACACTAGCTCAGTTACTGTATGTCATAAAAATCTGCCCAATTAGTTGTGTCTTTTCACTCGTATGACTTTTGTTTACATCTTTTGGTTCGATGTTAATTATGTTAGTGTGAACATTAAGCAAACCAGAACCAAAATGCAGCAATGTATCATTTTCTGCTTTGGTCCGGACCAAGGGAACTGAAGTATAAAAACAAGTGTGTATAAACCTGAATCTGAAATCTAAACCCAACAAATATTTGAGAAGTCCAACCAAATCCGGGTGTGAATAGTCAGGTCCTGGTGGGTTGGGACAAATATTTCGAGCTGTAGTCTAGGCTCTGTGTTGTGAATTCTCCTCATGTGGCCTGAGTCACCCCTCCCTACACCCTTGTCTCTCACTCTTCATGCTTGTGTTTTCCCAGCCCTGAAGGACAGCCGGTTTCAGCTGGTTAACTTCTCCGACAACGAGCTGCGCGTGTCGCTGTCCAACGTGACACTGTCGGACGAGGGACGGTACGTGTGCCAGCTCTACACGGACCCCCCGCAGGAGGCCTACGCAGACATCACCGTCCTGGGTATGCCCGAGCACCTTTCTGAATGCTAAAATCATGATTATTGATTTCCCTCATTGATCCTTTCAGTCAATTGAACCCGTCTAATTGAATCCCACCATGACACAATATCAACCAATTACCCTCATGCCGTTTCCAATAACATGGGCGAAGAAAAGAGGAACAGATGTTGAGCTATTGATATTGGCGGTCCACTTTTGGCAGCCGAATCGACCGAATTCCTCTTAGATGTTGAAAAGGCCCCATCGAGCGATTTTGTTTTTTTGTTTTTTTTCCCCCTCCAGTCAGCTTTTGTGGGGCCTGCAGCATTGAGTGCCATTGATGTTTGGAGGTTTATTATAGAGCGTATTTTGGACATCCCAGGGAGCTGAATGTAAGCGAACATGCTCCGAAATGACTTGATTGTTTTTGTACTGTTATGCAGGGACTGTATACAGTCACAGCATGGATGCTGAACTGGTGGACGTGGGAGCACTAAGCTTTATATTAGATAAAGAGCTAAAACAAAAACAAAAAAAAAAACAAACAAAAAAAAACAGCCCTTATCGAGAGGGATCTCACAGTATCACCAGGAATGTGCTACATGGTTGAATATGCCACTAGCACTCAGCATGGGAAATGCGAAGGCTAAATATGGTGCAGACGCAGGAACAGACACGCTAGAAAACACAAACATGGCCCCGCAAGGTCTCAGCAAAGAGCGGCTCGTCATATTAAACATTGCCATTTGCTCGATGGACGTAGGCCAACAGACAAGATGGTAAACAGAAATAAATTCAAGGTCCAAAAGTGATTACTGCTTTCATAGCTGTGGTGTAGAAGAGCTTGCAGGCAGTAGATGATTGTAAAGCAGCACACTGACATTCAGTGTCAACCACATTTTCATTTGAGCCATTGTTAGAGATTAGAAGATCTCTAGAGATTTTAGACTGAAGCTCTGACTTAGTCTTTTTTTTAACACCTTAAACTGCAGGCTTATTATTCAGTTGTTCAGTAACTACTCTAAATTCTCCAGTAACTACTATGAAAAGTGTTATACGAGCGAGTGTGTGCCTACATACAGAGCCTTGCAGTTTAAAAGAATACTCATTTTGTCAACCTGCCAAATCAATTACTATGCATAAATCCCAACTCTTTTCTCTTTACTTAGTAAAAAAACAAAAAAACAATTTGAAACTTGGAAACTTTAGACTATTCCTTTAAGGAGTTAGCATGACCCTTAGGTTCATATATGTTCACTGTACTTCCTACGGTGTCTTTTTACAGCCGCTAGGCCAAATGCTCATCAGAGCGGATCTTGATGAAAGAGAATGTTGTGCAGCAGGCTTTAGATCCAGATAGAGATCCAGCTGAAGGGAGCTCGAAAGCCCATCTCTAATCCTGCCGCTGTTTACGTTCCTCCAGTTCCGCCAGGCAACCCAATCATCGAGTCCCGCGAGGACGTGGTGAGCGAGGGGAATGAGACGGAGATAACCTGCACCGCCATGGGCAGCAAGCCTGCCTCCACCATCACGTGGATGAAAGGAGACCAAATTCTACAAGGTCAGCTTCACATTCACAATCGCACTCACAAAGAGAGATTCAATGCTGTTTACCAGACTCTTTCAAACCATCTGATTCAGTGAATCAAATGTCTGCCTCAACCATTTGTTGAATCACAAAGTTAAGTAAACTTCATCATTACCTTCTCCATATATGGTGAAATTTAGCTCCATGAGTGAGCCTGATTTTCACTACTTCTACTCACTAATAGAGTCAGACTCTTATGCACAGGGTAAAAACATATAACTGAAAGAAGAAGCCAGTTACATTTATTAGAAAGAAAACTCAGAAGGGTTCCTGAAGGGCGCAACAGTCTAAGCGTTGGCCGAATCATTCAGGAGTTTATGATGAAATTACTCAGTGCGATGCTAGCCAATGCAAGCGCCTGTTAGCTGATGTAACAGAATTGGCAGTTAGGGTTTTCCTCCAAGTGTTTTGAGCTGTCTAATGATATTGCGTTAGCAGCCGTTCAGTAGGATGTAATAGTGCTTCATGTGTATTTGAGGAAAAATGTTTGGTAGTATTGTGTGATATGGAGCGTCCTGGGTGGGAACTGTCCACAGCTAAATTAGAGTCGGAGAGGAATAGGTTTATTATTCATTACAATCCTTCTACGAACCCAATTCCAAAAAGTTGGGGTAGAACAAATAAAAACAAAAATTGCAAATCATTTGACCTGTGTTTACTTGTACAAAGACAAGATATTTAATGTTTTAACTCATTAACTTTGTCTTTTTGCATATATGTATTCTAAATTTGACGCCTACAGCATGTTCCAAAAAAGTTGGAAGAGGAGCATGTTCACCACTATCTTTATGTTTTCTTTTAATAACATTCAGTAATTGTTGAAGAACTGAAAACACCAATTGCTGTAGCTGTGAAAGCAGAATCACTTTCTGGACTGCAGGCAGGCCTGCGCCTGCATTCTGTTATGAAGCCACGCAGTTCCAACACATGCAAAATATGGCTTGGCATCGTCTTGCTGAAACAAGCGGGGATGTCCCTAAGACATTGTCTAGATGGCAGCATATGTTGCTCCAAAATGCATATGTACCCCACAGCATTAAAGGTGCCACAGAATGCATTTATACAATGTTTTTAATTGTTCATTGTACATAGTCCATTTACAACCCTATGATTTACAAGTGAATTAAAGTTGTTAGCTCACTATGAAACTTTAAATTTAAGATGATCTGGCTTCAAACATCCAAAGTGGATAAAATCCACACAGCATGGCTATCTTCTTACAGGTTGCAGTTGTGATGCTCATAAAGTTGGCACTGTCCATCATTTTGGTCCCTTCAGTGTCAAATGCTGAGCAAAGTGTTATTGTCCAAGGTTTGAGGAACGGTCAGGAGTGAAATGTGCAGAGCAAATTAACAACTTTAAATTAAAGTTGCTCAGCATCCTGTTAAAGCTGAGGGAACTGAAGCTTCTGTTCACCAGCTTGTTTTGCAAATTTTCTGTTCTACCTTACTTCAGCCCAGAGAAGTTGGTGGCATTCCTTGATGTTGATGTATGGCTTCCAATTGTATCTATAGATGCAGTGACTAACTGTTTACTTACAAGGTTTTCCTTAGTATTCCTGAGCCTATGTAGTTTTTAATGCACTGCCTTCCCAGGGAACTGAAGGTCATTATATAGGCATTGCCCTATATACACAGACATGTCTCCAGATTTTCTAAATCTTTTAATATCATTATGGACTGGAGATGATGAAATCACCTAAATTTCTTGCATTGCATTGAGGTTGGATTCATGGACTATTTGCTCATTCAGTTTTTTGCAAAGTGGTGACTGAGCCTTATGTGAATGCTCCTTTTATATAATCATCTTTACTAGTCTTACATTGCCCTTTCCCAACTTTTTTTGAATGTGTTGCACGCATCAAGTTTGGAATAAGCATAGCAATTAGTATGTTTACCAAAATCAATAAAGCTGATGAGGTAAAATATTAGATCTCTCGTTTTTGCCGTTTTCTTTTAAACGTATTTAAAGGACAATTTACAAATCCTTGCTTTCTGTTTTTATTTGCATTTTACTTCCTATTTATTTGCATTTTACCTGTCCTAACCATTTTGGAATTGGGTTTGTAGAGCTGGTCATAAACACGGTTATTGCTACTAACAAAAAGGTCCAATTCAGTTGGTGAATCAGCCTGTTTGTTGAAAAGAATGATTCATTTACAAACGGGATATCACTTGATCTTCCACCACTGATAGCACTTACACTACTGTGGTAGAACTGTTTAGACCAGTGGTCACCAACTCCTGGAGATCTACCTTCCTGCAACTCTAGTTCAAACCACAATCTGCTGCATCTGCACCAGCTAATTAACGTCTTCAGAAGTTTGTAATAGGCTGGATCATGTGCGTTAGCTGTTGGGTAAGGGGGGGGTGGGCAGCATGTTAGATTCAGGTTGGAACTAAACTCCGCAGGAAAGTAGATCTCCAGGAGCGTTGCTAACCACAGGTTTGGACAGTTATATATAGACAGTAAAAACTATACACACCAAATTTTGTTTAGGTTTCTACGTTTGAAAATACTGAATCGGTTGAAGTGGTTTATTGAAAAGAACCAGTTCAAAAGAATGATTCATTTACAAATCAGGTATCACTACCACACACCATCGATAGCACTTAACGGGGTGAAACTGTTTATACAGTCTTGGAATATAGGCAATAAAACCATACACCAAGTTTTGCTTGGATTTTTATGTTTGAAAGTAGTGAATCGTAGAGGTGGGCATCTGACAAAATACGATATTTCAAGATGCATAATACACAATATGTCACGATATTTATTTTTTATGACATCTGATAAGAACAGACAAAAACAACCAGTAGTCCCACATTAAAATATACTATCAACAACTATAAATACAGTAATTTATATTAATTTCTTTGAATAAAATTATAGTTAGTGAGTGTTGTTTAAGTACAGACAATATTCACGATATGCTCAGAAAAGCATATTGTGACAGTTTATCACGATAACGATAAATATCATCATATTGCCCAGCCCTAGTGAATCGGTTTATTGAAAAGAAGCAGTTCAAAACAATGATTCCTTTACAAATCAGATATTACTGTCATATGCCATTGATAGCAGTTACACTAACGTGGTGGAACTGTTTAGACAGTCATGCAACACATTGATAGCACTTAATAAACTAATGTGATGAAACTGTTTAGACAGCTGGAATACAGACAAAACAATACAGCAAGCTTGTTTCATTTGAAAACAGTGGATCAGTTCACCTGGTTTATTGAAAAGAACCAGTTACAAGGAACGATTCGTTCATGAATCGGACATCACTAAAATCACACACCATTGATAGCACTTTTGTCATTCCAACCCATCTCCCTCGTGCACAATGTGCAGAGAACACGGCACATTTCCATTTGGATGATCCTGTAATGATTTTTAATTACGTCTTAACAAGGCAGTGATGAGGCGGAGGGAGTATTCAGCATAAAGCGGCAAGAAGAATGCCGCCGCATACGGGGCTCCGAGACGGGATTTTTTTTTCGGCTGGGTCTTTTTTTTTTCAGCGGCGCTTAAATAAGTGGCTTTGAACGAACTCCAGCTGTTTCCCTCCCACTCAGCCGCCGCGCTGCCTGCGTATTAGCTGACACCAGTTGAGGCCGTTGCAGACTGTGCGATAAAGGGAATCTGCAGGCTGGGTAATCTGCTCATGAATGCCTTTCTCCATTAAGACAGTGGGGAGGGTGCGCTGATTAACTCTCAGAGACTACCTGGTGGCAAAAAACACATGACGAGCGAACGCTTTCATGGTACGCATCTCGCAGAGCGAAATGAATGAAGCAGCCGGAGCTCCGAATTTAAGCAATGAGTCATGCAGGATCAGAAGCTCTCCGTATTCTCCTAACTAGAGTCAGAACTGAAGTAAAATTACATTTAATCATCCGTACGTGTCATATGGTGTTACCACAATTTGTCTCGACACGTTGGCATACACTTAGTTTCTAAATCGCATTAATTAGCATACGGCTAATCTATATCAAGCTAATGCCTATTGTAATTGATCAGATTCAGTGCTTGTCTTCGACTTTGACAGTCACAGCCTCTTGGGTTCTATATCCATTGTGGAGAATCCACAAGCAGACAGATTGTTCGTTGGTGCTTTGCATACTGTGTTCTCAAAAACTCTTCAAAAACAGTAAAAGATAAACAAAGCCCCCCCACCGCCCTTTCCAGCAATTTGTTATTCTTCGCATGTCTCCTGACTGTAGGGAAGTGAGCTGTGTTGTAGGTCAGTGCTGGGCTATAATTATTTCCCCACTTCATTAGGTCCAAGTAAACCATCATCCTCAGCACTGCAATTAGTTCTCTGCCCTTGGAGCTTCCAGATTGTCTTAAAAAGAAGGCAGCCTTGACAGCCAGTGGCTTGGCGTGCTCCAGCTGACCTGGAGGCTCCGCTGAGTTTGGCTTCATAATAGTCGTTTTGGAATCTCAGACGATTGCGTGTATTTTAGCTGCCTTGAACTTAAGAAAGTGAAATGAAAAACAGCCCAGGGCATACTTCACAGCGATAGCTACAGTACAGTTATCAAAAGTTTGGGGACACTTTGCCTACTTTTGAAATTTTAATTTTCAGGTTTTTTGTTCAATTACGTGGAAAAAAAACCTGCAGGGTATAGCATTGCTAATACTTAGAGTATATTTTGCAAGACTCAGCTTCAGCTTGAAACTAGGAATTGGGCAACATAACATATCACAGTATGTTTTTCCAAATATATTGTGGATATCGTCAGAACTTCAAGAGCATTTACCAAGTGCTTACAGCAAGAGGAGTCGTGCAGCAGTTCAAGTGTTGGCCCTATGGTCAGGAGATTGCGAGTTCAGTCCCTGCCATCCAGCGCTGCCATAGTCATCTGTGTGTGCAAGAGACCATGATTAGCCTTGCTCTCTCTTGGTGGGAAGGATGGCCCACCAAGCATATAAGGGCAAACATAGTCCAGCTTTACTGGATTTAGTGCAGTGTGGTATGTAAACCACTGAATAAAAATTATAGCACTCATTGATTTATTTATTTATTTTTTTAAATTGGCACTACTGGTTCATTTTTGTCTGTGCAGACTTATCAAACCTTATCAAAAAATAAATGAAATATTGTGATGCAGATATATTGTAAAAAAAATGTCTAAGTGTGATTTAAACAGATGGAACCAAAACAAGAGGATAAAATGTGCAGGGTCCAGTATCAAGATCCGTCACAAATAGTGTCACTAGCGTTTTGCCGCTGTTATATCAGAACCTCTTATTTCTGTTGCTTTATTAATAGTTATTTGTTTTACTCCATTTTAAAATGCCAGCTACCCTTTGCATTGTGTGAACATTTCATGACCAATAGAACAAGGTCTATAATCGTTTAACAAAATATTGATACCTCAACGTAAAGTTAAGAATGTTGCATCGGTTACACCTAAGGCAGTACGTACAAGGCTATATGACAACTACATGAGCTTATCATGACAACTCATGAATCTGTATAAACACATTTATTCTAATTGATGTTGTTGCTCATAAAGGCTGTTTTTGTCAACTTTGATGTCAAGCTGACTTAACACATCTATCAGACGACAGATTTTTTTTTTTGGCATTTGTTTGATCGTTACACTTTTTTGGGTGAAATGACAGCATGTTATACCAACTGACTTTGTAGCTTAGTGTATATCATAGGGACATAATACCGATGATGTGATATACCTTAAAATCCTATGACACAAAGTCATTTTACCTAAGAGCCACAAGAAATGATCATTATGTCATATTATCAGCACTATGTCACTGTGACATTCAGCTATATAGTCCATGTCATTTCACCCCAGAATGTGTCTTGACAACCTAATATCAGGGGAAAAAAAAATGTCACCATAACTTAATAGCAGAGTCGGCAAATGCAACCTTTTTGACAAATGATGCCTATTGAAAAAAGTGTTTATAAATGTTAATGTAGGTTTATGCCAGTTGTCATGATGAGCTTATGTAGGTATCATGTAGCCTTACAAACACTGTCCTAAAGTAAAGCTGCACTATGCAAGATGTTTTTGTTACGGAGGAAAGTACTGATTAAAGAGGAAAAAAACATGCAAAAATATGGTGTGCAGGTGCTGCACCCTGTAAAGTCTGAAATAATCATTAAAATGTCAGAGGCATCGGGTCAGATTTTGAGCTTTTCGGACCACATCATAAGTCTACATATTAATGACACACACAGACTCAAACAGAAGGTTCGGCTTGATGTTTAAGAGTCAAATGCAAAATCAACATTAGACTGATGAAGATATGATGACAATAGAAGATAATTCACTTACATCCTTGCAAGACACATCCTTTTCCAAGTTTTGACTGAGTTCTCTTTAAATACCCTTTCAGCACGCTCGCAATTTTCAGATTTATTCGCTCGGGGAAGGGGTCCGAAGCACAAATGATATTACAAAATGTTCTTCTGCAAGTTGTGTGCAGTTACACATTTCCACCAGAGAGGTCTCCAAATCCACAAATCTTACATAGTGCAGCTTTAAGATCTATGTATCTATCTAAAAGTAGTCATGCTCAAAACACTGAAACATTACTTCCCCACACACATGGAGGAAATACACACTAACGACATCACATCACACAACATGAGTGTGCTATTTCAGGATATATTTGTTACAGGATTGGATTGATTCTATTTTTCCCTGAATGCCCAATCCAGTGTTTTTGCTGCTACTCATTGAAACAGATATGCCATCTCTAATTGAAAACATCTGTATCAGAAAACTAGGTGTCGAACTTTTCATGGGTACAACACGGTGTGTTGTAGGTATGAAAACAGTCATGTGAATCTGCCTTATTGTGCGCTGATGTGACGCCGCGGTGTCACGGTCAATATACCGAGCGTGACAGCGAGGAGACGTGTCTGCCACTTTAAATGAATGTAAGATTTGTTTGGAGGTGATGGATCATTTCTCAAAGACCTTCATGGCGCCACGCTGGGACGGGGAGTTATTATGAGGTGGGTCAGGATAGAGAGAGAGCGCTCTCGTTACAGGCTGCCGTGTCATTCTCCTGTTTGCTCCCAGGCGAGGAGACGGTTGAGGAGACGTACGACAGGATGTTCACCGTCACCAGCCAGCTCAGGCTCACCGTCTCCAAGGAGGACGATGGAGTGGCCGTCATCTGCATCATTGACCACCCGGCCGTGAAGGACTTCCAAGCACAGAAATACCTGGAAGTGCAATGTGAGTCATCCCTCAAACACAGCGGGCTAACTCCATAACCAGTCACACAACAAACAGGCTCCTGCCTATTCATCCGTATGCAGAAAACAGCCCCTTTTTTGATTGGATTGTTGCATTGAATGAAAGGATTGATGCCAAAAAAGACTTTTTTGTTATTAGATATTAACCTGGACAGAGCCTTGGGATTTGCTTTAATTAAAACAGGCTTTGTCTTGTTATGCCTTGGTTTGATAATGCTATTCACTAAATAGCGCTGTAATTGAGGGTGATCAGTGAGCGTTATTACGGGCCATGGAAAGCCCCGGAAAGGTTGACCTACCCTTTTGTAATCTTTGTAGAATATTAATTTATTCAGACGGCTGACTATTCGAGCTGACCTTTTGTGAAGAAAAGACAGGAGGGATCAGCCTGACTGTAAAAAGCTTGACATTTTGACAAACACAGATAAAGGCGAGGAAGAAAATAAAAACATTTTTACAGTACACTACCATTAAACAGACTGTTTGAATTCAAGACGGCCGCCTTTGCTTCTGCATCTTTTCCCCTGAGGACTAAAGCTTTGCTGTTAAAACCATGTACTGCACTGTCTGTGCCTTATTGCTTTTTCTAAGGCAGCTAATGATAGTGTGTAGCATATGGACGCTGGAAATGTAAGAAACACGCAGCCAATTTGTTACGCAACTATGGGAAAAAAGGCAATCTGAACAAAGACCTCTTCTTCACACTACTGTGTGAATAAATGAATATGAATAAAATTAAGAAAGTAAGCTAGCTTAGTAGCTTAGCACTTATGCGCTAAGTGTAGCATTAGCGCATAAGTGTTAATGGAGTTCTGTATAAATATGATTAAAGATGCTGTCTAATTGGGCTAACAGACTTTTAACAGCGCTGCAGAATGATCATGAGAAAAGCAGTGTTACAGTAGAGGGGGATATGTGCGCTGCCCTGCTTGTGCCTGTACCTTCATGTGCCTCTTCATGTACTTTTGCTCTGTTTTTCAGATAAACCAGAGGTGAAGATTGTGGTGGGGTTTCCAGAGGGTCCAACGAGGGAAGGGGAGAACCTGGAGCTGACGTGCAAAGCCAAGGGCAAACCACAGTGAGTGTTTAGAGCTATCCACGCTTCATCTTTTATCTTTTCGATATGAAAGATCGCTGTCTTATCCACTCTAGGCACATTATAAATGGATCGGTATTGGCTATATTAACCCAGAGCAGTCTATATACAGCACTGTTTGCAGTCTGAGCTCAAAAGCCACTTACAGTTTCTGCAGTCTCAGTGTTTAGATTACACTTAAGTAGGCCTGTCACAATTATTACATAAATCACCTGATCACAAATATTTCAGCTGATCAAAGTTATTTAAGCTGTTTCTTTAATGTTTGTTAACACCTTTAGAGGGCAACAGGAAGCAGTGTTTATTTGATGTTTGCTAACTTCTTTAGAGGGCAGCAGTGAGTAATATTTGTTTATTTGATGGTTGTTAACTCCTTTATAGGCCAGTGGTGAGTAATGTTTGTTAACACCTTTAGAGGCAGCGGTGAGTAATGTTTGTTCATATGATGTTTGTTAACACCTTTAGAGGCAGCGGTGAGTAATGTTTGTTCATATGATGTTTGTTAACACCTTTAGAGGCAGCGGTGAGTAATGTTTGTTCATATGATGTTTGTTAACACCTTTAGAGGCAGCAGTGAGTAATGTTTGTTCATATGATGTTTGTTAACACCTTTAGAGGCAGCAGTGAGTAATGTTTGTTCATATGATGTTTGTTAACACCTTTAGAGGCAGCAGTGAGTAATGTTTGTTCATATGATGTTTGTTAACACCTTTAGAGGCAGCAGTGAGTAATGTTTGTTCATATGATGTTTGTTAACACCTTTAGAGGCAGCAGTGAGTAATGTTTGATTATTTGATGTTTAACATGTTTAGAGGGCAGTGGAGAGTTTGATTATTTGATGTTTAACACATTTAGAGGGCAGTGGAGAGTTTGTTTATTTGATTGTAACACATTTAGAAGGCAGCAGTGAATAATGTTCATTTGTTGTTAACACCTTTAGAGGGCATTAGTTCTGAGTAATGTTTGTTAATATAAGCTTGTGCTGTTTCTGTCAACAGTATCAACAGCTATGAAGCAAAACAGCTATTGAGCTGTTGCATACAACGAGGACAAAAGACAAATTGTTAATTGCAATTATTTATATGGCAGTTCATCATCAGATAAAATTTAATGATTTCGACAGGCCTACAGTTAAGCTATCCATTTACCTTCCATCAAAATAGTTAACTGTGTATGTGACTGTGCAGTCAATATATATATATATATATATATATATATATATATATATATATATATGAAAAAGAAGTACTTTATGCTTGATTTAACATCTTGAAATACAAAACTAGCATATTCACTATAAATGAGTCATTTCAAAAACATTAGGTGTCCAACAGTATGCACAAACTAAAAATGAACTAATTTCTCTGTGGCATTTTAAAGTAATCGGCAGCCTAGTGTGAGTTATTTAGACTGAGTTGCTTTTGCTAACTTTCATATACTTAATAAATGTACACTGTGCAGTTGTATTGTCTACAACAATACAAATACTGGATTGGCACTTTGTATTGGCTTAATAAATTGGCTCTGTTACAATGATTGTGGGCAAACAAAACTGACTGATACATCCCTATAAGAAGCCATAACTAGCTCAAAAACAAGCATTACTGATCAAAAAGTAATACCATTTTAAGAAGTGCTTGAGTTTTAACTGCAGCACTCATTTTCATGAAAGCCTTTTGGTATAAACATAGTGCTTTAATATCCAAAACAGTTGGATATTCCCACACTACTGTAAACACAAATCCTGCAACTTTGAATGTACCAGCATATTCATGCGGGTAGAAAGTGCATGCATTCTGAGGGCGATGTGTTTTTTCAGCACTGAGGAAGTTGAATGAGGTCCTCCTCGTTATCCACTCTCAGCCGGGATGTTGACACAGACATCTCTAAATTATCGTTGTGCTGTTTTACAGGCCTCATCAAATTTACTGGTTCAAAGTGGATGATGATGTTCCCTCCCACGCGGTGATTACAGGCTCTGATCTGTTCATCGAGAACCTCAACAAGTCCTACAATGGAACGTACCGCTGCGTGGCCTCCAACTTAGTTGGGGAAGCCTACGACGACTACATCCTCTATGTGTACGGTACGTATTAAGGTTTTTCTAACCACAAGCTTTAAAAGCTGTATAGGAGCCGCTGGTGCGTAATCATTCCTTTCTTTTCTTTTTGAATATCTCTGACTTATGCTTTGTGCTTGTGTTTCCACATTCATTTTCTACTTCAGGGGACAATGCTTCCCATTCTACGCCATAATCTGTCTTTCTTGTTTAAAAAGGACAATGAGGCAGAATTATTCAGTGGTTTTATATTTATACCAGAGAGCTTTTTTTCTACTGTCTTAGCCTTTTGAACACATCAGCTACTACAGTGTTCTTCTGGATGCGCATGTAGTCTGACTGTACAGTGAGGGGTGAAGTTCCAGCAGATAGTTTGATTGACCACTCATTTATCCTTATAATTGGAGGTTTAGTGGTTGAAGTTGGTGCCAAGCTCTGGATAGAACTGCAAGATATAGACAACAAGTACTGTGATACGCCTTCCAGTATATTTAAAAAATGACACTTTTTTCAGGTCAAATATGATTTCTGATTCCAAGATTTAATATGTTACACGTCTTGATTCTACACAGCTCTAATTACATACTACACAGATTGGAGCTCAGAACAATTTTATTTCATCAAAAAAATAGATTTACCTCATCTTTTTGGTGCAGTATGTAAACACTGATCAAGTTTCAAACCGTACAATTCACTCTCCCGTCTTTACATTCCATATAAGGAAACAGCCGATTCTGAATTCATTGTTACTGTGATGTCGCAAAACCTAACACATTTACATACATTCGCCTATTCCCTCAGGTTTTTGGCTCAGGTAGAGGTGTTAAGGAAGTGTTATGCAGAACGGCTCCTGCCGGGTATGAGTCAGCCACTCTCCTACATCGGCCCACAATTCAGAACTAATATATCATTTGATAATCATAATATATCAATATGATAATTTGGCCTTTGTAATACTGCAGTTGAGGTCCAGCCATTCACTTTGAAGTGTGAGGAGTCTTTCAAGCTGGTAAGGTTTTGAATGAGGCACAATACAGGGCAGCCAATCAGAACAGAGGTCATTTACATATATCAATCTTAAAGGCACAGTAACAAAAACAGCCTGTTTAATTGTAAGGAATAAAGAGAAGTTGGAAAATGGTAATGTAAAAATGAATTAAAACCTAAACCCATACAAATATGGGGGCAGATGTGAAAAAGTGGAAAAATAAAAAATATTGATCTAAAATAGTGATCTAATAAAACATAAGTATCACTAAACAACTACTTCTAAACAACACAAAATCCTAAACCTCCTCATATGAAACCTTATACAGCATGTCTTCAGTTTCAACCCTCAAAAGCTGATATACACCGATCAGGAATAACATTATGACCACCTCCTTGTTTCTACGTTCTTTGTCCATTTTATTGTCCTATTTTAAACACTGTGTCCACTCACTGTCCACTCTATTAGACACTCCTACCTTGTCAGTCCACCTTGTAGATGTAATGTCAGAGACGACAGCTCATCTGCTGCTGCACAGTTTGTGTTGGTCATCCTCTAGTCCTTCATCAGTGGTCACAGGACGCTGCCCACAGGACGCTGTAGGCTGGATATTTTTAGTTGGTGGACTATTCTCAGTCCAGCAGTGACACTGAGGTGTTTAAAAACTCCAGCAGCTCTGCTGTGTCTGATCCACTCAGACCAGCACAACACACACTAACACACCACGTCAGTGTTACTGCAGTGCTGAGAATGATCCACCACCCAAATAGCACCTGCTCTGTGAGGGTCCATAGGGGGTCCTGACCACTAAAGAACAGGGTAAAAGGGGGCTAACAGAGTATGCAGAGAAACAGATGGACTACAGTCTGTAATTGTAGAACTACAGTGTGCACCTATATAGTAAGTGGAGCTGATAAAATGGACAATGAGCGTAGAAACAAGGAGGTGGTCATAATGTTATGCCTGATCAGTGTATCAACAAAACACAGTTAATATGTGTGCGAAATTTACATTCACACTATTAATCATAACTAAGACAGGTTAGTTTGACCTCATTAATTCATCAAAACACTCAGAAATACTTACCTGGAACTATGCACTTGTAAAAGTTAAGGTGTCAAATGGAACTAACAGTTCCATAGAAGAGGGGTGCTCAATCCAGGTCCTGGAGATCTGCCATCCTGGATAGTTAAGATCCAACACACATGGCTCTAATTGTTACCTGCAACAGGTGTGTTTGATAAAGGCTGGTGCTAAACTCTCCAGGGCGGTAGATCTACAAGACCAGGACTGGATCCCCTCGCAATAGAAGAACCACTTTTGGTTCCCTAAAGACCCTTTCAGTGGATGGTTTGTTGAAGAACCATTGTTGAAAATGAGATGTGTTAGTGTGAAGAAACTTCTTATAGATCAAAGAACCCCCGCTTAACACAAAAATTCTGTACTATTAAAGGTTATTCCTAGGAACCACAGGCCCAACCCAACAACTACTTAGGATCCTTTGTTTTTAAGCATGAGCATTGTTTGGTCACTGGCATTGGTTAGGGGGCTTATTTTTATTGCAGCCTTCTGTCATGTCAGTACTGCAAAGGCCAATATCGCAACATGAATATCAAATGATATACTAGTTCTAAATAACGTGAATTGTGCATAGATGTGGGAGTGTGGCTGAGTCATTCCTGGCAGCAGCCGTTCTGCATGACACTTCCATGACGCCTTTACCTGAGTGAAAAAACTCACTGATCACACTCACTTTTTTAAAACAGTGACAGCCACTTTGGCTTTAGTGCCAATCTGCTTCGAATCTGCTCTCCAAATGCAAAAAGTCCTGGAATATTAAAACTGTAATTGTTGATCTGCTGGAGTGAGAGATTTCAGAAAGCAGACATTAGAATCCCAAAAATTTCACTTGTCAGTTAAGTGCAGCAGTGAAATATTCCATCGTGTCAGAAATATTAGACATTCAGAGATTCAATTAGGGCGAATCGGCCTACAGAACACGGACAATTAGATTAGCACGGCTTAATGCATATTTGTTGTTTCTCTTTAAAAGCCTTTGCTAGTTGCTGTTTTGCCTTAGGGAAGGCCAACACGGCTCACGTTTGTTGTAAACAAAGTAGTTGTGTCTCGTGGCGCATTTCTAAATCAATTTACCGAGACAGCTGCAGAACATGACATACCTCGGAGGCTCTAACAAGCATGAAGACCTCTCGTAGGCTGATAATCCAAGACCCTGCGTATTCCTCTATGGCCTGTCAGCGCTGCTTTTACATCTGTGCTAGGGGGAGGGCTTGCCTTTAGCAGGCAGCGAGTAAAACAGTGACTTTAGCCATTTGAGAACATTTCCATTTCTCTATTCACTTGCCATGTCTGAAACACTGCTGCTTACGATTCAATATCAGCATACGTACCGGCACGTTGGATACACATTACAAACACAAAGACAGAGACTGCAGCGATTGGTTTCTCCATTTACACCCCATTCATTCAGCCACTGCATTCATGGCCTTAACAAAAGGGGTCTTACAAGAGATTGAAATACAATGCACATCTTCCATTGCTGGCACTGGAGAATTCTCAGTGTCCCAACTTAAACACTATTATGTCTGATTCCGAAAGCTTGTACAATAGACGGTGGAACAGAACGCAAGATTATTATGCGCCAATTTAGCTGAATTTTAAATGACCATTGGCTTCTCTGAATATATGAATTGTTAAAACCAGCTGAGGCATAGATAGGCTAGAAATGAGGTTTGGCCAGTGTTCAGGCCTGTATACCTGAATGTACTGAACTATAACAGTCCTTGAATGAGGTTAAAGGTCACTTTGGGCAAGATCATAAATATTAGATGGTTTACTCTGAGCTAAATAACACATTTTACAGCTGTATTTGACGCTGAGGCCATGCTGGGCAACGGAGCCTTTCAAGGAACTGTACTTCACTAGACTGTTTCTGTAAAATATGCTCTTTAACTGCCGGTCAAGGCACACATTCAAGTCAACCCAGCTGCTCTCTGAGTGTCCAGGTACAGGCTGAGTAAACCTGAACTGCTGAAGTTATAGTCTCCAGTCTGAGCAGTTTGCTTTCATGGAGCAAGAGATGTAGAGTCTGCTTATGGTAAATCAGTATGAAAAATGTAATAATAATTCAATAATTGAATTGACTTGATTCAAGTGTCTACACCATTTTACATAATAAAATATATTACATTAACACAGACACTGACAAAGGTAAGTCAACTGAAAAGCAAAAAACGTACTGATCCCACAAAGAATAACTAATTAACATTTAAAAACAATGCCTAAGTATTTAGGAAACAGCTTATGTTAGTTTTTGCAAAATTACAAGACAATGTTCTATGAAGTAAAGGACTATATTGACATTTTTCCCCATTTATAACACTTTTATGAAGCATGATTTCCAAGTATTGGAAAATAAGGCAAAGGGATAATCACGAACGCTGTGTAGGGAGTCTTTAAATAAACTGTTATGTGATTTATTTCATTCATGTGGAATTTATGTTCACATTCGAATAAAATAAATTGAACACATAAGCATAACAGTTCATTAAGCTATAAAATTGATAGCATAGCCTTGGAATATACTGCAGTAACCCATCTACTGCATTGCATGTTGATTCAATTAGTAACTGTAAAGGGCAAGACGTTAATGTTTCCTTTTAATTTAAAAACATAGCTCAGTATATTCTGACGTAAGAAGAATGTTGAACATTGTATTACTTACATTGGAACTTTTCATTACCGATTCCGAGTCTATGAATGTATTAGTACTGATAGACACACACAGGCACAGTCCAAATCATCCTTTTGCAAATTGCGCTTCAACTCATGTCAAAACGGAAGATTAGCCAGGAATGAGGATTAGCCAAGGGAAAAAAAAATGGAGAAAACAGAAAAACAAGCCCAGAACTAGGTGTCGGACCGAGAATAGCATCATTGATCTGTCTTGACGTCTTATTTCTTTGTGTTCCACTGTGGACACACCATAATTATCATCCCATCTTTCAGTGTCCCTTTT